GGGAATGTCCGTGGTTACTGGAATCATGAGATTCAGATTTGAGGAGAAAGAAAGCAGGTAATGATTAGGGTTTCCTAAGTATTTGGGGTTATTATAAAAAAGTGTCAACCTTTTGCTTCGGATCTAAACCACATTGCGTCTTCTTCTTCCTCTTTTATGTCAGATCCGTGTTGGGGAATTTAGGGTTCTTTGTTTGATCGATTGATATGTGGATTTAGGTTTTGCTTGTGCCCTCTTTTTGAATCCCATTTTCGTCACTTTTTTTTTTGGATTTGTGAATTTGAATTTGGGAAGAAAAAAATGTTCAAGCAATTTCTGAGTAAGCTTCCTCGGAAGTCTTCAAAACCTGACTCGGGAGAGCTGAATCGTTCGAGTTCAGGTCCGGTTTCGTCTCCGGTTCAGAGATCCGGAGCTAGTGTAGGCTCGGGACCGGTTCGATCCAACTCAGGGAAGCGTATGTCATCTGCTGTTTTCCCGGCGAGTGTGGTAGCTGGAATCGAGCCTTTGGTACCTTTTAAAGATGTACCAAACTCGGAGAAGTTGAATCTCTTTGTGAGTAAAGTTAGCCTCTGCTGTGTAACGTTTGATTTCTCCGACCCAAGTAAAAACTCGATTGAGAAAGATGTGAAAAGGCAGACATTGCTTGAGCTTTTGGATTTTGTAGCTTCTGGATCTATTAAATTCACTGAACCAGCTATTCTTGCAATGTGTAGAATGTGTGCTGTTAATCTCTTTAGGGTTTTCCCTCCGAATTACCGGTCTAGTTCTGGTGGAGGAGGCGGTGAAAACGATGATGATGACCCCATGTTCGACCCTGCTTGGCCGCATTTGCAAATCGTCTATGATTTGCTGCTTAAGTTTATCACCTCTCCGTGTCTTGATGCTAAGATGGCAAAGAAGTATCTAGATCATGCTTTCATTGTGAGGTTGCTCGACTTGTTTGATTCGGAGGATCCTAGAGAACGGGAGTGTTTGAAGACGATTCTGCATCGGGTCTATGGGAAATTCATGGTTCACAGGCCGTTTGTTCGCAAGTCTATGAGCAATATATTTTACCGGTTTGTGTTTGAGACAGAGAAGCATAGTGGAATTGCAGAGCTTTTGGAGATTTTCGGGAGCATAGTGAGCGGATTTGCGTTGCCTTTGAAAGAGGAGCACAAGATTTTCTTGTGGAGAGTGTTGATTCCACTGCACAAGCCTAAATCTGTTGGGAACTACTTCCAACAGCTATCTTACTGTATTACTCAGTTCGTAGATAAGGAGCCAAAACTGGGCAGTGTTGTGATAAAGGGGTTATTGAAGTTCTGGCCGATCACAAACAGCCAGAAGGAAGTGATGTTTCTCGGGGAGGTCGAAGAGATTGTAGAAGCAATGAGCGTGATGGAATTCCAAAAGATCATGGTCCCATTGTTCTTGCGGATTGCTTGCTGTGTCAATAGTTCCCACTTTCAGGTACATTCTTATCTCTTAAGAGACATTGTAAAACATAAATTACTTCTAGGAAATGCGGAATGGTTTTACAAATTAATTCCTTGACCTTGATACCGAGTTGCAGTTAGATATCCGTTCATAGTTCGCATAATCTTAAGCTTTTGAACTTTAACCAATTGAGCTTATTGTGTTACAGGTTTCTGAAAGAGCTCTATTCTTGTGGAACAATGATCAAATTGTGAACTTGATTGCACACAACCAGCAAGCTATCCTCCCAATCATGTTCACTGCTTTAGAAAAGAATGCTCAGAACCACTGGAACCAATCCGTGCTAAACTTGACCTTAAACGTAAGAAAAATGTTCTGTGAAATGGATGAGGCTTTGTTCATGTCTTGCCACGCCCGCTTTCAGGAGGACGAAGCAAAGCAACGTTCTGCAGCGGAAAAGAGGAAAGAAATGTGGGCAAGGCTAGAAAATGTAGCAAGTACGAAGCCAGTAACGGGAAAAACAGCTGTTTTGGTTACTCCTTTAGCAACCTCCATTGCATGCTAAATAGCCAACTAACCAATTCTCAGACTGCTTATCCAACCAAATATGAAGCAGCAACATAGCATC